TGGTGAACATATCTTCACCATGCACAATTTTATGGATTCCAAGCCTTCCTTTCCTATCGCTGTTGTAATCTCTATTCTGGTTGACTGCCAGAGACAACAGTTTAGTTTGGTTATTTTAAAGTTTAGGGGCGCCTGGGTGGCTTAGTCGGTTAAGCGTCCGACTTTCGCTTAGGTCATGATCTCGCGGTTCGTGGGTTTGAGCCCCGGGTCGGGCTCTGTGCTGACTGCCAGCTCAGAGCCTGGAGCCTATTTCAGACTGTATCTCCCTCTCTCTCTAACCCTCCCCTGTTCACGCTGTCTCTCTCTCTCTCCTAGGAATAAATTTTAAAAAATCTAATTAAAGTTTAATTTTTTTTCTAGCTTTGAATTTTCTGGTGGAAAGTTATTGGGGGCATAAAAACATGGGGGCAGTTTAAGCTTCTAAGTCTCTGCAGTCAAGTTAATTTGTGTAGTGTGGAATTATAGGGGCTGTTCTTTCTCAAATAAGTCCTGTATGAGTTCATATAAATCCACTTAAGTCTTTACTTACAGTTGCAAGAAAATTGGATCCTCTACTAGACTTAAATAAGTTGGCTGTGTATTGAAACTATTTAGGATATAATTGTATTCTTTCCTTTTAATGAATCTTAATTTATGTCGGAATAACAGTAATACATGAGGCACTTAAAGCTGACTGCTAATACCACTTCCTGTAGATTATTTTAAAATAAATAAACGTTTATTTGCTAAGTGGACATTCTGCCCCATCAACAAAGGATGCAGAATGGATACCAGAAGTCATTAGCATAATACAAATGCTTTCAAAAGAACTTTGGAATGCCTAAACTAAAAAAGTACACTACCAAGGACTTGGAAAGAATTTCAAGTTCCAAGGCCAAAGAATCTACTGCATATTAATCTTCTTTATCAAAAAGTTGATTTGGAAAAAAAAAAAAAAAAAAAAGAAAAAAAAAAAAAAAAAAAAAAAAAAAAAAAAAAAAAGAAAGAAAAGAAAAGAAAAGCCTGGTGGAAAGATGCTACATTGGGGAGCAGGACATCTGGTGGTCCTAATTTTGTCACCGAGCAGTTTGAATTTTTAGCTAGGCATTTCAACCCTATTAACATCCATGTTCCCATTTGCAAAAGGAGGAGTTGAAGTATGGTTTTTCAGGGTGTCTTCTCCTGACAAAAAGAATCTTTGAGAGGTTTTTATGACCTAACCAAGGTAGCAAAGTCCAGAGAAACAGTTTGAAAAAAAAAAAAAAAAAACTCCTCATAAACTTACAACTGGAGTTCTACCTCCTAAGAGCATTTAATTCTTTTAAGTGAAAGCATGCATGCAGATTCCCCCAGCTGTCACCCTTGAAGAGGACAGAGTAAACATGCTCGAACTTATATGAAGCCCAAAGTGTAATTGTTAAACACTTCTATACACAATTAGGAAAATGGTGATGACTCTTTTCTTCGTTCACCACCTCATCTATAAACTACACATTTCTGAAAGCTTTAAGTGTCTTTCTGATGTTGAGATTATTAATAAATGGGGGAGGACAGATTTAGACAGTAACAGACTGTCTACTTTTAAGATGAGAAATCCACTGGGTATGAAGGGAATCTATGATTTCATATCATTTCCCTCAGTTTATCCTGACACATATTTGGAAATTTTTTGTCTTACTTCCTACTGTCACTGTTAGAATACAAGCACATTCCTTTCTGTACATGTTCTGCAGCGTAATCATGCCTTTGGAGTATGTGCTGAGAGACTGAGTCACGAGTTCTCTTGAGGAGATGTTAAAGAGATGGTGGGCATGAGGACCAGGGAGCCCGAAATTTCTCAGCAAATCCTGGCTCAATAATGCACACTATAAGATTTACCAACAGCTATGCAATTTCTAGTGATTAATGTCAGCCACTACAAAATTTACTCTGCACGTATTTACAAATTATTTTAATTCATGTAGTCTACTACTGTATGCCTAAGTAACATCTCATAGTGCAGCCTGATATACATGCAGTCAACTACGTTCTTAAGGCACTAACCTATTAACCACCTACAATGCATGACATGCTTGACAAAAATCAGAACTTTAAATTTCAGGTGCACATTTGTGCTTTTAGGAGAAAAGCAGAGTACACATGCCTGGAGTATGATACCCTATTATTTCAAAACTAATTTTCAGCTACATGATCATATGCTAAGAGGAAAAATATACCTATGTATGAACTCCATCATAATAAACCATAATGATATACTAATTTACAAGGAGCTACTTCTGAGCTACACAGATTTGAGAAAAAATAAATTTAAAGATACACTATTACAATTGATTACAGAAGTAATACAAAACTTAAAATGCTTTCTTTTCTAACATTTTATAAATGACCATTCAGCTTTCTTTATAACTCTAACTTATTTCAGCTTTTCTTTTTTCTGCTCAACAAATCAATTTTTCAAATGCAGTAGGAGTTAGAGCCCTTATTTTTGTCTCCCAGGCAAGATGCTATTAGGGGTCACTTCCCATGTACGGAGAAAACAATCTTCATGGATAATAATGATAAAACCTTATGGAATGCAAAAACAACCAAAATATGTATTCTCGGATGACTGCATTAGGGCCAAGTCAATATTAGTCCCACTTCACCCACGCACCGCATAGTCTAAAAATGCTGTCAGCCTGATAAGAATTTCCTGATTTACTCTTTTTTCCAATAGAAAATATAGGTCATCAAAATAAACTGACAGTAAAAGAACAGTAGTTAGACTATCAAGTCTCTTCATTTCACTAGCCAGCTATAGTCAAATAGTTTCTTTACTTAACAGCAACAGTAACAAAAAGTAGCCTCAAACAAGCCATTTGAGTAATAGTGACATGAAAATTTCCAAGCACACCTCTCAACTTACTTCTTAAAGTCAGTTCAGCCTCATTATGTACTTGAATGATACCCAGAGAACCCTAATGTAAAGTTGATATTTAATAATATGTGCAACTAATCAATGTGGACAACCCAGGCAAAATAGAAGGCTCATTCTTCAGGTTGTTGATGGTCTTAGCAAAAGAATGAAATCTGGGGATTGAGTTGCAGCACTCTTGCAAAAATGAGTGTACTGGAGTTACTTCTTACTGAAAACTGTATTTTGTGACTAGTAATTTAGAATTTTTCTGTTAATGAATTTTATTTTCTAATTAAGAAGCATCATAATCCTCAGCTCCACCACATATTCATATATTAATGGGATTATTTTCATAAAAATTCCGGATTTCATAAACTCTATTTATAACTTCTATAGTTCAAGTTATTTTTAAGGAGAAAATAGTTTTCTGTATGTTTAGTAATTTTGAGTCTGTTGCTCATCCACATTCCAACTGACAGTTGAAAGTTTCTACAGTCTCTGAGATGGAGGAAAGGAAAGGAGGAAATAGGTTGGTGTAGTTGGGACTGAGTGTTTATTTAACACATAAAACTGATATCCAGCATCTCTGTGCCTGGCTTGCCTAATTTGTACCTAAATGGTTTTCTCTATTACATCTATCTTTTCTACTTAAACCCAAAGAAAAGCAAACAGCATAACCAAAATGTTTTCATTCCATCACCCTTGACCACAAACTACAAAACGCTTTCCCATTCTCCTCTCTATATCTTGCTTTCAATGCTGAATATTCTTTAAAAAATGACAGCAAGAACATGGGGCTCCTTCCTCTTTTGCCCTACGTCATCCTGTTAAGCTTATATTGTTTAGCAGATAAATATTGTTTAGCATGTACTCTGTTCCAGAATCAGCTGAATATACAGTTCCTAAATTCTAAGCAGAAGTTATGATTTATTTCCAAAGACTAGCACTACAAATATAGCAAAGAAACAGAGGTAAAGGAAACAGAGAGATTAAAATTAAAATATTAATTAATTGTACAAGTAATAAAGAGCCAAACCCTTAAGACCACAATAAAACATATGGTTCCTAAGAAACTTAAAAGTAATCAATAAATTCCGTGGATGTGAATTTCCAGACCATATTTAGTTCCCTGATAAGTGTCTCCACCTCAGAGTGTGAGGTGGAGTGTACTTTTTAATCTCACCAAATCAACCCACCCTGATTTCCAAAGTCTCAGGACCCTACTTTGGTACAAGCTAGTGCCACATACTCACGTATGTATTCTCTGTAGGACTAAGTCTTGACACACTGTTGGTGTCCAGAGAGGAATGTCCAGGGGTACCTGGTGCCAAATTCCCCACACCCTACCCTCCCTTCTAAAGGAACTATATCGTCTCCCTGGTTCCAGAACGCTTTTAGCCACAGCATTCTCAGTCACTCTCAGCATGGTGAAGACCCAACATCTCGCGATCCAAGGTTACTTCTTGAAGGCGGACACACTTCCACTACACTGAACTATAACATCTCTGCTCTTTGATAGACTTAAAAATGAATGAGGAACTTTGGGATGAATCCCTGCCCTCTAAGTCACAGTCATGAGAAGACACACTCTACAGAGAAATTCTAGTAACTTTTGACAGATGTTACACGAGATCGATGTTCCACAATAAAAGTTCCAGAAAGGTCACTCCATGAGCGCACTGTCCAGGTGGCCTTCCCTATGTCCGTGACACATTTCATCCTCTTAATCCACAAAATCCTGAAACACTCCACCTTTCCAAAGGAAACAAGATATTTGACTTAAAGGAAGTTTACTCACATACTCCTAAGACAGATGCCCTTGGTGAGTTTCAGAAAACTGAGCCCAAAGAGCTAAGGCGGCTCTGACGACCAGCCTCTGAGCTCCGGCGACAACAGCCAATGAAGCCCCCAGCCAGGTAATGAATCCACCAGGCTGCTGTGCCTGTCCCTTCCCGAAGCCTCTCTTCTCTACTAATGGCTTTCGGCTCAAGGGCGCTCCCGCAGGTCCCAGAGCATCCTCCGCGCCACCCGTCCCGGCGGGACGTCGCCCGAGTCCCAGACAGACACTCTCGGTGCCCCTCGCCCCCGCCCCCGCCCCCGGCGGGCTGCCCGGTCGGTGACTCACCTGCTGGCCAGGTTGGGGCGCCGGGTGGTAGTAGGCTGTGGGGCAGGTTGCAGCTGCCACAGGGTTGGGCAGATACTGGGGCGCTCCATACGGCTGGGGGTGATACATCACCTCCGCACAACTCATGGCAGCCGGGGCTGCGGCGGCCCCCGAGCTGCCGCCGCCGATCTACGCGCTCCGGCGACGGGCGCCGCCGCCACCGCCGCAGCTGCCTCGTCTGTCGCTGCTCCAGCTGCTACTGCGGCGAAGGCGGGTCCTGGGCGGCCGCGGGCTCCGCGCTGGGCGCGGGCTCGGGAGGGGTTGGCAATCAGTGGGGGCCCATGCGCGGGCACCTTCATCTTCAGCCCCTCCGAATGTCCGCTTGCCTGCGCTTATATAGCGGCTCCGGGACACAGCGGCCCACCGCGCGGCGGGGGCATGACAGCGCCGGGCTCCGGCGAGGACGGCAGCGCCCACCGCAGCTCCAGCCGCAGCCGCAGCCCCGGCCGGGTAGGGCAGCCCTGGGGAGCCGGGGCTCTGGTTTGCATATACACAATGCACGCCCGGGGCTCGTCCTATCACCGGAGTTGGAGCCTGGGCGAGGACCGGGAGGCGGGGGCAGAGGGAGGGGGCCGCTGGGGAGGAGCGGGGGGGGGGGGGGCACTTCGCCGCTCCAGGCTCTCGCGCCGAGCTCTGCAAAGTTCTTCCAAATGGGTCCGCGGCGGGCGGGTGGCCCAACCGGGGACCCCGGGGAGGGCCGGCTGCGGATTGGAGCTAAGTTTGAAGCCCTCTCCGCCTCCCAGCAGCGGGATGAAGGTGGGAGGGGAACGGTGCGCGAGAGGCCGCGCGCCCTCAGAGCTCGGGCTTCCCACCCTGTCTCTGACACCTGGCTGTCAGGGCAGGGTCTTCCCAGCCCCCAGGAAGCATTCGGGGGGAGCACCAATGCGGAGGCCAGAGCTAAACGAAGGCCAAGTGTGCAAAGAGGTAAAACAGAACTGGCGCAAAATAAACTGGCATTAGCCCCTAAGTTAAATATAACAGTAAATGAAAGTTAACTTTATTGCAAGTACACACATGACAAGAATGCAACACATTTTTCTGCAAGAGATCTCCGCTTTAAGTTTACACCTTCATGGTATGACATTCTTGTGGGACGTCAACCTTTTCTGGGTTTTCCTGCCTGGTTTCCATTGAGCAATAGGCAACAACAACCAATTAAACCCATTCAGCTATGGCAGGTTTATCTACTGGCAAGTACCTTATAATCCTCTCCAAAATGAAAAAGAAAAAAGAATCTGTTTGTAGGAATATGATTGTATTTTGATATAATTAGATAAAGTGGAAAACAACTGTAATTATTTACAGATTATTTGCAAATAGGCAAGCTCTGACTTTTACCAAGTCTATCTCTCCCCATAAATATAAGTATCCTCTTTTATGACACAGAAGTTTCTTTGTTTTCACAGAGACCACCCTTTCCCTGAGAAAAAGTCTATGTGTACGTCAAACATACATGTTGTTATGGACTGAATTGTGTCCCCACCTCCACCCCCAAATTCAAATGTTGAAGTCTAACCCTCAATGTGACTATGTTTGGAGACAGGGCCTATCAGGAGTTAATTAAGATTAAATGAGGTCCTAATCCAGGACTGGTATACTCATAAGAAGAGTGACAGTACAGATTGCTCTCTGCACTGGCACAGAGGAAAGGCCTTGCAAAAACCAGTGAGAAGGTGCCATCTACAAGCCAGGAAGAGAGGTCTCACCAGAAACTCACCTTGAGGACAGCTTGATATTGGACTTTCAGATTTCAAAACTGTGAGAAAGTAAATTCTAATGCTTAAGGCAACCAGTCCTTTTTGTTATGGCAGCCCTAGCTGACTAATACAGATGGACAGTATTAATTTATTGCTAATCTTGATATGAATGTGTATGTGCATATACATAACTACACATACATACATCAGTACCCATATATTCACACATATATACACACACACCCAAATACATAAACTATAATAATTGGACAGGAACTCTTTGTTACTAATAACAACTCCTATTCACTCATTCATTCTTTCATCTACCGAATATTAAAAATATATTTATTAGGGGCTTTCACAGCTTGTATTTTGTACTTTTTGTCATGAAGTATTCCTATCAATAAGATATGCAAACTTATTTGAAATGTTTATCACTGTCTTTTTAAAAATTGACATCCTCTGGTGAACCTTTCCTGTGTTCCAGGTTCATCTATTTAGCTTCTGTCTAGATGGTTCCACATAGATGTTCCATAGGAACCTCAGTCATAAGAGCACTAATATTTTCCCACAGACCCAGCCTGATCCTTCTCTTTTAATTTCCAGCTCAGGTACTGAAACTCTCACCTGCCAGTTGCTGAGCTAGAAATCTGGGAATCATCAGACATATCTTTCTTCTTGTTACAGTTCCTGTATCTGGTCTTGAGTCCCTTGATCCAACTTTTACACTTCTACTGACTCTGTGCCTTCATCTTTTTATCACTGCAGCTATAATCCTTAGTTCACCCAGCATCTTTCACCCAGACTCCTGCAGGAGGCTTCTACCTGATTTCTAGGCCCCAACTTGAACCCTTTTCTGATCCATTCTTCACCCAATTTTTCCTCTTACTGTTTTCTGTTGCAGTCGCTGCAGATCCAACAGAGTAATAATGCTTTGTTCCTCTTTCAAAAATATTTTATAACAGTTCCCCACAGTCTGTAGTCTCAACTCTTTAACCTTCAAATTCTGGTCGCTGCCTGTGTCACCATCTGCTGTAACCACCACCTGAGCTTAGACCTCCCTTTCCAGGAAAGAACTTGTTTTCTCCTCTGACCTTGCCTTTTTATATATTACCAGAATGTCTGCACCAAGACACTCTACCTTCTTCACTTTCTACCTCTTTTTTGTTCTTTAGGGAACCATCTTCCAAAACATCCACTGAAGGCCAGCTTTGATGCTTTGATGTCTCTACTTTGGCAACTCCAGCACCTATGAACACTGCTCTCACCATACCAACTACTTGATTTGAAATTTCCCATTTGCTTTTTTTCCCAATATGACCATGGCCACATGAAAGCAGAGACTTTGATTATTTTTTATCTGTAATCTCAATCATATCATGCCCAGCTTAATAAACATTTATTGAATAAAGGATTCTAAAAAGGAGGAAAAAAAACTCTTCAAGGAACTTAAAAACTGATGGGGGATCCAAGCACATCTGAAATCAGTGCGGGTCAGAACATGGAACATGGTTTTAGATTCTGTATCAGGATCTCTACTGTATGTTAGAGTGAGAAGTTCCTTGTGATATGAGAAACTCTGGACCTAGAGTGTAAAGTGATGAATTAGACCACAAAGCTAGTTTTCAAGGGCCCCCTTTCCTCTACAGCCAGTCCCCTGTTTGAAGCCCTGTACCTTCCAACTGTGTCTTCAAATATCTTAATGTATCTGTAGCTTATTATTATTGCTTTAATTACATGTTCAATATATCTCCTCTACTAGATTTGCAGAGAGCACTTATATATTGTAATTTAACATTCAGAAGATGTTCTGTATGTACTTTTTGACTTAGAAAATAAATCCAGAACTAAATCCAAAATGTCCATACATCCAATTTCTGCATTTTCCTTATTTCCCATTTCCCATATGGCCTCTACTATGTTGCAAATATTTATTATATGACATAGATGTAGTTTCTGGATACCAGTAAGTCACAGACTCAAAAGTCTGGATGTATTTGGCAAAATCTTTCTTTAATGTAGTATCTTTGGTTTGTTCATTTGTTTGTTTGTTTGTTTTAGAGACAGCATGCAAGTGGGGGAGAGGGGCAAAGGGAGAGAGAGAGAATCCCAATCAGGCTCCAAGCTCAGCATGGAGCCAAATGCAGGGCTCAACCCCACAATCCCTGAGCCAAAATCAAGAGTTTTATGTTCAACTGATTGAGCCACTCAGGCACCCCTACAGTATCTTTGTTTTGATACCTTCCTTCATTTCTACATTGTACTGATGGGGAAAAAAAAATGAAATACTAAAGATAAATTGTATCCAGCATTAGAATCTAGAAGAAACAATTCCTGTTAAGGAAAACTAAGTTGGAGCTCTGACTTCCCAGGTATCTGTTTAGAGGTTTAGGGTGAAAAAGAATCAAAAAAGATCATCTAGTCTACAATATCTTTCAACAATAAGCAAACACATCATCTGATTAATGTCTCCTATGAAACTGGAGGCACACTAAAACCAAAATCCCAAATTTCTTGACTTTGGGCTCAGTTCTCTATCACCCCCCATGGTAAGGATATACAAACAACCATATATGTATATTTACATGCATGCATACAGTCTCTATGCATATACACATAAGTATACATGCATGCATATTCATAGATAACCATTTCAGCATATACATATACAAAAGAAGAGGTTTTAGATTAGATCATCCTTTGGTCATCCTGATGTTTCAGAAAAGAGGTGGGGAAAAAATGTAGGCCAATTGCATGTAACACTTGTGAGTCATGCAGATCAGAGAATGTAATCTGATCACTGGTGTACTCATTGTCGTGTTAATTATGTGGAGGTGTCACAATTGTTTGGAAGTAAATAATAATGAGATGAAACTTGATTATTTGTACTTTTGAGGTAAAGTTCTTAGAATTTTACCCTTTTATCTTTTCTCTTCCTTCTCTGAAACTGTCCCACCTCCTTTCTGGTTCAGTTCCATGTAGAACCAGATCCTAGCCTTTGGTGTTTATCCTCTTATTCTTTTCTACCCAGCCACTGAATTCCAATAGAATACCAAAATTGCCTTCAATGGTCCCAAATCTTCTGAATCAGAGGTTTACAGTCATTATATTTTTGGTTCCACTCACCAAATTTCCTAGAATGTTCCCAATTTTACAGCTGGAATTTTGTGCAGTGAACTTCCCAAACCAGTCTTATTTAGAGGGGTAACATGAAGTGGGTTTCCCAATATCCCTTGGAATAAGATCGGGGTTTTTTTGTTTTTGCTTTGTTGTTTTGGTACCACCCGCCCCCCCCCCCCCGAGTGATGACAGCCGGGCTTGTCTTTAATTGGGGTGCCAGTGTAAGAAAACATGGAACCTTCTGTTCACACATGTGGATTTCTCAACCTGTGTATCTAACCTCCTCCCCGCCCCCCACCAATTTGCCAAATAGCAGATCCTTGACCAGCGTCTGGCCTAAGCTGAGCCCCCTGATAATGCAGCCCATTCTAGGAATCATGGCTTTGAGGAAGGGGCTTTGGGTCATCTGCACAGGGATTTACCAGGTCTTAAGAAGCATGGTTGTTCTATCGTATAGATAAACCACATCTTCTTGATCCATTTGTCTGTTGATGGACACTTAGGCTCTTTCTATGTTTTGGCTATTG